TTTTTTTTTTTTTTTTTTTTTTTTTTTTTTTTTGTTTCAACAAAAAATTGTACTGTGGGAAAAATTGCGAAGGAGGATAAACAAAGAAAAATATGGTGTATATTACATTGCAGCATAATACAACACAAACTAAACATTCTTTTGCAAGGGAAATCACATAGATAATGTACGTAATCACTACTAATGAGGTAATTCTTCTCAGGAAATAGTTTGCGAAAGGACAAAGGGAAAAAGAATGCTCCAGTTTATTAAGTTTTGTATGTATACCCTTTCAGTATGGACATTACAATATGGAAATAAGGTATGTATCCTATTAATTTGTAGTTAAAACAAAAGCTCCAGTCATTTTCATTTTTTTACGTTTTAGTTTTAAAAAGAATCGCTTTGTTCCTGATGCAGTTTAATTATGTCATCATCCTTTTAATAATTTACGCCCTTTTTATAATTTTTAGTTTCCTATAGTTTGTAAATCATGGGATAAAAATGAGAGGCTTACTAGTGTGCCATTCGAACTAAGAAATAGAAGACTGCTGAAGGATGACGCAGACATGGGGATTATGCGACATTATGATATTCTAAAAAGAGCATTTATAAACACGGTAGAATATGACAGTAATGAGAATTTTCAAGATGAAAGAAATCCACGAATATATCGTAATAAATATAAAGAACGAGATAACTGTTCCATCCATGACGACAGCGGTGATGAATCCTCTGATTCTCTAAAATACAATAACCGTGATCATAATCCATATGACAAAACAAAGTACTCTGATCAGTACGTAACAGAGCCTAATGAATACGACCAAACATACCCTGAAATTGTGTCATATGTCATTAAAACAAGCCAGAGTAGTGCCCTATCTAAGCTGGTCAATTTTTTGAAAAAAATGGATAAAAATTTTGAGGTAGCATTGTTACGTTCCATAAAATATAATGTCATTATGGAAGATGCCTCAGTTAAACATAAGAGCAAACTTGGCAAACTACTATACTATATGAACGCACATAAAATACTATTCCCACCGATTGCATTGCTCATAAGCGCTTTTGTACTTTTAGCTTTAAAAGTGGGTAATATATATATTTATCCAGTAATTGTCGTGGGCACTGTAGTGGCAGCTTACTATTTGGTTAAAGTTATAAAGTGCAACAAAATCGGTAAACAGTATAGAGAATGTAAATCTGGGGATAGGAACGTAGGTTAACGTGATCCTACCAAAATGGCACATTTTAAGATCATTAATTTTTTCTTTAAAAATTTTATAGATACAGCTTTTTACACATATATGGTGAACACACGTTAATTCCAAATATGGACATGAGCATATTACATTTCAAATACACTTTTTTTTTTTTTT